AAAAAAAAAAATAAATAAATAAAAAAAAATAAATAAAAAAATAAAAAAAAATCTTTTTGAACTTTTTTAACATATTTTTCAACTGACTAAAAATTGGCTTAAAAGTAATTGGTTTATAGTTAGTTTAAAAGTAACTAGTTTATATTTAGTTTCAAAGTAATGCAGGAATGGACAATTGTCCACTGCCTAGCTCATCCCCATGTTAAAATAGTTAGTTGGCGTAAAGGATATAAATCAAAAAACAAACTAGTTGTGGTTTTTTTTAAACTAATTTTAAATTAGTTTTAAACCAATTTATTTCCCTGCAGGGTTGTAAGGCCCACCCATACATGCATACTTTATAAATCCATTTTCGTACATTCTCTTTTTGTTAATGTGATTTTCCACAAGTGTTAATATGTGTGAGGTATTGAAATCAGAATTCAGTTTGTAATTTTTGCACGTGGAAACACTGCAAAGTGCAACCTCTCTTTAATAAATATTGAAAGGACTACAAAAGATCCACAAAAAGGAGTGGAACAATTTTTTAGAAAAAAATAGGAAGTTTTATCTTTATTTTTAATGTTTGTTTTTATTAAAAAATATACACCAAGGTGTAACTGTCATACAGCATGTACTCAGTTATATATGTGTTTAATTTCACACTGTATCCACGCGGTGATTACTATATACATTTCAGTGGGTGAAAATTAACACGAAATTTAGCATGTGTAGGGTTTTTGGTCAAAGCAATCTTCAGTTGTATATTCTAATACTTATTACAAGGTGAGAAAAAAACTGCAACAAAACTAAACACCATAATTTTTACATTTTTTTAAATTTATTGAATGAAAACAAAAAATGTCGGAAATAGCATCAAATTGTAGAACATGTTTAGATTTGTTCGAGTTAGTCACCTTTGGCACGAATTATGGCCTTCAAACGGTCAATGAAATCGTCACACCCTGCCCGAATGTTGTTCTGCGGTATTGTGGCCCATTCCCGGCGAAGCGCTTGCTTGAGGCGATCGACTCTTTGGTATTTTTTAGTGTCAACCATGCTTTTCAAAATACTCCAGACACAATAGTCCAACTGATTGGTATCCGGAGATTTTTGCGCTGGAAATGAAGCGAAGAACTTCATTTTGTAAACATTCTTGTGTGGCGCGAGCTGAGTGCGTTGGTGCTGAGTCCTATTGGACTCAGCTTTAATACACCCTCCAGAATATTTTCGCGATAATATTCGGCATTAAATCTGATGTCAGGGTCGATTAACACGAGCGGAGAGCGATCATCGGCTGTTATGGCCGGCGCTTGAGTTCTGGTGGCCAACAACCGAAGGTGCACATTTTCAGCTGACCTCTTTGGCAAGTAAACACGATCATTTTGTTTGTTTACAAACTGCTGGACAACGAATATTTTCTCATCGGAGACGGAGAAAACCAAATTCGGCAGTTCACCACTTTCGGTCAATCGAAGCAACTCTTTAGCTCTTTTGAGTCTATTTTCTTTCTGTTGCGATGTAAGTTTTTTCACTTTTTGGAAATTCAATCGCTTTACCCCGAGCTCATTTTTCAATATTTGCCGAATGGAATATTGCGATATGTTCAGCTCACGAGCCATTTTCCGGCACTGCGACGCGGGTTTCGATCAAGTCGCTTCTTTACTTTTTGAACCATTTCTGCTGATGTTGCTGTTTTCTTCCGTCCACTTTCTTGACGTCGGGCTACACTATCAGTATCATGGTAACAAGCGATGGTACGAGACACAAAAGATTTATTCACATTTAAATGCTGGAGTGCTCTAATGATAGCCACTTGTGGTTTTCCAGCCAAATATAAAGAAATCACACTATCACGCTTGAATTCCATCACGAATAACTTGTTTTCTGGAAAATTCTCACCAAAGTGCCTTTGTACGTTTGTAAACAATATAATGAGCTGTCCATGGAATAATTTTAACAGCTGTCGGACGAGTGGCTTAAAAATGGCAGCAGTCTGAAGTTGGTTGCAGTTTTTTCATATCTCCCTGTATACACTATTTAATATTCTTCACGAATTTTCCAGATATTACAGACCACAGTATGCCGTTGAACATTTAATGAGATCATTAATATTATGACATTATAAATTTATAATGGATGATGAAGTAGTATAAGCTCTTATAAGACATAAAATAGGCCATAAAGAAATCGAACTGTGTTTTAATATGTTCACGTTTTTTTATTAACTTGTACCTCCTCTTCCTTTTTTTAACTTTCTGAAAACAGTGGAAACTTCCAATTATCTGAGCGTTCGAAAGTAAACACAACATATTATTAACAATAAACATTTCCTACGAAAGAAGGAAGAAGAAAGTTCTCTGGAAACTACATGTGATTTTCCACTGCAAAAACCAATCATCGATTGTGACCACAAAATTTCTTCTCTTTTTTGCATTTCGCATCTCTGAGAAATTGATTTGATATTTTTTTGCCCTTGAGATGTGAACTATATTTCCAAGTTGCGTATTGTATGCACACATGTTCTGCCCAAACAGCAGCACAACAACACAACAACAATGTACCAAAGTATCTAACTTGTTCAAAATATTCATTCAGTTTTGCGATACACTCTTTCGTTTTTACTCCTCGCCAAAAACAACAACAACAGTTGCAGAAATGAAATACGTATACGTTATTTTCTCAGTTTGAGAAAAGACCATGAGGAACGCTCAAAATTGCTCTCTTCTTAGTGAAGAATTTGGCTTCCCCATCAATGCTCTTGTCTCAAACGTGCACTCTGTGCAACTGAATGCATTCAATTCAAAGGGGATCACCATCACTGAATATTTAACGGGGGATTTTTGTTTGGTTGCAGTAAAGCCGATTGTTTTGAGGTTAATAACATTTGATGGTATTTGAGAGCCAACAAGTTTTCAGTCAAAACGATGCCCTCTGGGTCTAAATATTTTGAAATAATTTTAACCTAAATTCAGAAGAATTATGTGATTTTCAAATATCTCACACTACAAGCTATTGATAGATACATTGATCTATAAAAAGCCAATATACCATTGCATAGAAAATCAGTAGATTATACAGGATTGATAGATCATGTTAAAAAAGAAAATGAGATTTTCTTTTATATCAAATCAGAGGGAATTATATATGGGAGCTATATGTAAATCAGACATCAGACAAAGGGTGAACATTTTGAATATCCATGAAGCTCATAAAACACGAATTTAACATCCGATTCCATTCAGACTTGGTACATCTCAATATTACTATAAACACAAGATCTGTTATAAAGATGGTACAGATCGGGCCATTTCTTCAAAACGCTCAAAGAAGGCTAAAAGAGCATCCATCTCTCTTCAAATTTCACGCATACATTTTTTTTGCTAACGCAAGATCTGTTGTAAAGGTGATATATATCTGCCAAGCCCATTCGTCCGACAGCTGTTAAAATTATTCCAATGACAGCTCATTATGTTGTTTATTGCAATATTTCATTCGGCAAATTTGCAAAAATGAGCTCGGGGTAAAGCCATTGAAATTCCAAAAAAATGCAAGAACGTACACCTCAACAGAAAGAAAATAGACTCAAAAGAGCTAATGAGTTGCTTCGATTGGCCGAAAGTGAGAAAACATTCGTTGTCCAGAAGTTTGTAAACAAACAAAATGATCCTGTTTCCTTGCCAAAGAGGTCAGCTGAAAATGTGCACCTTCGGTTGGCCACCAGAACTCAAGCGCCGGCTATGGTGATGGTGTGGGCCGCCATAACAGCCAAAGGTCGCTCTCCACTCGTATTAATCGATCGTGGCATCAGAATAATCGCGAAAATATTCTGGAGGGTGTATTTAAGCCTTGGGCACGCAAACATTTTGGACATTCCAAAAGGACTAAGCACCATCGCATTCAGCACGCGCCACACAAGAATGGTTACAAAATGAGGTTCCTCGCTTCATTTCCAGCGCACAATGACCACCAAAATTTACGGATACCTATCCGTTGGACTATTGTGTTTGGAGTATTTTGGAAAGAAAGGTTGGCACTAAAAATACCAAAGTGTCGACCACCTTAAGCAAGCGCTTCGCCGGGAATGGGCCAAAATACCACAGAGCAACATTCGGACAGTGTGTGACGGCCGTGATTGGCTGTTTGAAGACCATAATTCGTGGCAAAGGTAACCAATTCGAACAAATATAAACTTATTCTAAAATTTGATGACATTTCCGACATTTTTAGCTTTCATTCAATAAAATTAAAAAAAAAAATGTAAAAATTATAGCGTTTGACTTTTTTATAGTTTTTTTTATCTCACCCTGTAAATGCTCGATTTCCTTCAAATTTTGCACAGGCAAATATTTTTATTTGTATTAGATGAAGTATGAATATGGAATACTTCGAGCCGCTATATCTGTTACCTCACTATCCAAAAATTTGCACATATCTTATAAGTCGCACAGGAAGTAGTCGATATAGTCCAAATCTGGCACCTTGGAATATTTTCATCAGTCTTATGTCAGATACGGATTGGTCAATACCGACTGATACTATTTTACTTGTTAAGTTTATGTTGAAGAAGCTATATCCATGTATGTATCTATATCCTTATATCTGACCTGATTCTCATAAAACTTTAGAGACTTACTTCTGGCATTGTGATTAAACTATGTCTGCAATAATTTATGTTTTCTTCTCACGTAGATTACATTAGGATATATTCAAAGAACTTCTTAATATTAAATAAAACAAATTATTTTATGAGAGCACATTTTCTATTAAAATTTGATTTCAAATTAAAACTAATTAACTTGCATATATCTTGCATGCTCTCCACTCTCTGACTTATCTTGTAACGGCAACCCTATATATGAAATGCATTTTGTGGTATTTTAGCAACAAAGCACACCAACAAACGAGCGAGAGAGAGAGGATCTCCAACTAACAAAATTGTTGTAGAAACTTTGTAATGGTAATGGTGTATCTCAGTGCCAGTTCTCTTCGTGTAAATGAGTTGGCTGAGTGAGTACACATTACAAGAAATCGAGTTCGGCCGTTTTTTCGTGAGAAGGAGGAGACGGACGTCGACCGTTCACTATATAAACAACTGACATTCATGTCTCTGGCTTTAGTTTCCCGTTTGGATATATTTGATAAACAAAAAATAAAGGTAAATGTCAAAATGATACTGGTTGAGTGTTGGCCACATAAAATGAAAAAACTACCAATTAAATAAAGATAAAATTTAACGCAAATTTAGATTAAATTTGAAAAAAAAAGAAATGCGAATGTTCAGATAAAAAGCAGTAGTTAATAGTTAAATAATGTGTAAATACTGCGTGTTAATGAAAATGTGATGAAAATTAAGCCATAAAAAATATTTAATTGAAAATAAAAAAAGGTGTAACTTTTTAAAACTGGCAATTTATAAGCTTGAATTTTAAACAAAAACAAATATAACAACAAAAATGGCAAGTCTAGAAGTCGGCTGACTGTGAGTTCAAATAAAACGTGAATTTCTTCAAATATTTCAAGTTCCGTAAAAAATGCAAAATTACTTTGACTTGCTGTGTGTGTTACAACAGTTCCAAGCGACGAGCCAGCCCAACACCACAGTGCCCTGCACACTTTGAACGATCTGATTGACGTTGGAAATTGCCTGCCCAATGAAAATGATATGTTAATAAGTTTTGGAAAATCTGGTTTAGAATTTTAAACAATGGGCAAAATATGGCATTGATTGTAAGTCGAACCATCTCAACATCTATCAAATAACTAACTGGCCGCATTAGTAGTTAACAATAATTTACAAGCAGTGATATAGTGAAGGCAACAAAACAAATAAACTATTAAAAATTATAAAAAATGTGTATCAAAAAAACAATTTATGCGGTTAAATATTTATTTTTTATAAAAAAATTGAATTTACGTAACAAGAGGCAACAAATGCAAAAAGCAAAATACAAATGGACGTTGTAATGAAAATGAAAATTCTTTTTTTTTTTCTTGAGGTTTTCTAGACATTCACGTTCGGTTGGCGAAAATTTGCGCCAAGGGCACGATGCCATTAAAATTAACCAAAAAAAATCGAAATGAAAATAAATTGTTTTCGGAAAAACAACTAAAATAAAATAGAAATTTTGTCTAATTGTGACTTTCTAAACGTCATAGTGAAAAACGACAACAGATCGTCTGACGAGACCGTGAATTGTTGCAAAAAACAAAATACGAAAATAGAATGTAGCAATAAATGTGACAAATCAATGTGTTTTATTTTACGTATTGCAGAAAACTTTTCTTATTTTTTTTCTAAAAGACTTGGTAAAAGAAAATTGTTCGTATTGTGTGCAAAAAATAAGAAAGAAAAAGAAAAAACACTAAAGTGAAATGCAAAAACACTATTCTAGCTAATAAAACTAAATTGTTTACAAAGACAATGGCGCAGATGACGATGACACCATGACTTCAAAACAAACAAAAAATTATAATAACAAAAGAAATGTTTCTCATTCGTCTGGATCGAAAAATGGATACCCCCGTGCCTCCACCGACACAAGCTGGCCGGTGACATTGAAAAATGTTATGTCAATAAGAACTACTAGTGATCGGCTTAATAATATAAACATCTCTAATTAATAATTAATTGCAATAAGGATTCAACCTGATTCTCTGGGGGGAGAGAATTGTGGGGCCTATAATACAACATAAAATATCTCTGAAAACTTAGAAACCAAACAAAAAAATATTTGAAATAGAATTTTGACTTTTGCAAATGATTACTGCGTAAGGAATAATGAACAATCTAGGCAAAGATATTCCAAAATAAGAAAATGAAAAAAAAAACAGTAAGGAAAAGTCAAAAGCCCGGTGGGGCCGACTATATGATAACCTCCATGGTGAGAAATAACCCTACAATCGGATGAAGATGTTTATCAAGGCTATATATAAATCGGAACCGATCTCGATAAAATTAGGCAGAGGTATTTTCGTGCAGTATTTGATGCGCGGAATGCATATTACGCATGTGAGGGACCAACCAAATTTGAAGTACTGGTTTCTAGGATGAATTCAGTCGGAGTTGCCAAAATTCAGTCCATTAGGATTAATTTTAGGTATATCCTAATCTGAACCGATCTCGCTAAAATTTGGCAGACGTATTTTCGAGCAATATCTGATGCCGGTACTAAATATCATTCCTGTGGAGTGCATATTACGCATGTGAGGGACTTAAAACCGCAAATCGGATGAAACATACATATGGGAGCTATAGCTATTTTACCAAATTTTAAGTACTTGCTTCTGGGATGATTTCAGTTGGAATTGCCAAAATTCAGTCCATTTGGACTAATATTATTTATTTGGTGCACAATAAACCTGAAATCGGATTAAAGACATATATGGGAGCTACATCCTAATCTGAACCGATCTTGATAAAATTTGTCAGATGTATTTCTGGGCTGTATCTGATATCTGGTATTAAAATCATTCTTGTGGAGTGAGGGACTTAAACACCAAGTCGGATGAAACATATTTATGGGAGCTTTAGCTATAACTGAACCGATTTTCTACAAATTTGATGTACTTGCTTCTAGATTGAATTCTGTCGGATGTGCCAAAATTCAGGTCATTTGGACTGATATTGTCCGAAATCGGTTGAAGATATATATGAGAGCTATATCTAAATGTGAACCGATTCTCACCAATTTCAATAGGGTTCGTCCTTGGGCCAAACAAATATTGTTTGCAAAATTTCATCTCAATCGTATTTTAAATACGACATGCATTTTGTTCAAAAAAAAAAAAAAAAAACACGGACGGAAATTTCGCATCTGATCTAAGTCAGATTTAAATATTGTGACGTGGCAAGTTTTGGCCTTTATCGACTACTTCCACCACTTTATTTAAGATAGTTGGGGAGATACTAGAAAGAGTGGTCTGACCTATTTCATCTTCACACCAGATTTTGTGTTGGAAGAAATATTTGGATATACCAATTTTGCGCAAAAAAGGATGCACATTTTGCATTTTTGAAGTCGTTTCGTAATGATACCAATATTAGGAATGGCAACGTTTAAACAAAATCGGATGACCCTTACTTGTTCTGTGAAAAAAAAATAAATAAATAAAAATTTTAACCTGGAGAACTTAATGGAGTGAACTGATATTGCACATCTCCGAACTACGTATATGTTTGATAATAATATTACGTACGTTTGGACCAAGTACCGTACCAAGTTTGAAGCAAGTACCGTAACAAGTTTCGACCAAATCGGATGCTCCCTCGAGAGTGTGAGTGAGAGATATCCCAATATCCAAAGAGAACTAGAGTCTAAAACAGTAATTTCGATGAGGCCCGTTTTGACCGTATCAAATATATATAACCCTATGTAGCCATATGGTTACAAACAGACCGATGGACACCCATAGATGGACTCCCAATGTCCCTCTGTACCCATATGGCTACAGACAGACGGACGGAACCCCTAAATCGACTCCTAATGTCCAAAGAGACCTAGAGTCTAAAACTGTTATTTCTATGAGGCCCGTTTTGGCCGTATAAAATGATATAACACTCTGTAGCAATATGGCTGAGGGTATTACATATTAATAAACTAATTGGTTGAGACCCTAGTTTAGTCAAAAAGGGAGTAATTTTTTAATGGAGACATATCATTGACTACATATGGAATAGTATAATTTCGGCCAATAAGGCTAGACCTCTCCCTTTGGGAAAAAAATATTTCTTTAAATTTTCATTTACAGACTTATTGCAAAGAGAGTGAAAGATTTTGTCAAGGGGTTAAACAATACCGAACACACATTTTTGTATGAAAACAAATCGGTTCGAAAATGCAGTAGAAGCTTTCGACAGAGACTTAAAGTTATACTAACGTTTTCTCTAAAATTAGTAGACATGTATATTTTTCGACAAAATATTTTTTTTACGGCCAGAGTCCCACCCACATTTATTTATTTATTATTATTTTATTTAAATTTTAAACATTAGTATTCGTAGAGGCTTTTTCCGATGATGATACTAATGTGAATGCGAACGAAAAACACTATTTCAATTTTGTATACATTTTTGAAATGTAGCAAAATATAGCTAAAAACACCGAAAAGTCAATATTTAAGGAGTTATGGCCATTTTAAAATATTGAATAATTCATCCTTAAACAAGTGATCACAAAACTCATTTGGAATTGTGTTTTTCTTACCCAACAACTTCGTATAGTTATACAGAAACAGACCCTTTGTTCTTCGTTGTTTTTATTTTTTACTTTTTTTAACAAAAAAAAAAAAAAAAAAGATCTTTTTTAAATTACTTTATTATATAAATTTATTAGAAACTACAACTAAATAAATAAGGTATAGTCCATTTAAAATCGTTTAAAAAATCTACTTTCAAAAATTGTGGAGGGCAAACGAGTGCATATTGTTTTATTAGCAAAAAAAAAAACACACAAAAAACATTTAAAAAACTACGTTTCTTGCCTACTCATATGGGCAGAAAATATTGCATATGTAGGCGAAAAAGTTTACACCAAAAAATACAGTGAATGCAATAAATATCTTATTAATCATAATAAAAAATAATAACAATTAAATCAGTTGATTTTGTTTAATGGTTTTTTGTTTTGTTTGGCGTTGTTGTGTTTGCCGAGAAATGTCATCGCCTTTGCTAGGTGTGCTCTTTGCTACTGTATATTTTTCAACATTCTCTTACATCGATAAATAGATTTTCTCTCTTTCAACACAAATTAAACATCATCTTCTGTTTCTCTTTTTTCTTTGTACAAACTCTTTGCAGCAGAGACAACAACCAATACTCTGAGACAGCCAACGTTGGATTTTTTGAATTAATCAGTGGTTGTTTTCGTTTTTGTTGTTATTCAAATCAAAGTAGAAGTAAAAGAATCAAAACAAAAAACGCAAATATAAATAAACAATCTATACAACCTATACAACAACCAAGTGAACTTCAAAGCAAATAAATAGATTGACTGGAATTGTTTGGAAAAAAAGGTGAATTAGGATATTCAACATATCGGATAAAGAGTCGAATTAACGAAGCAGTGAAATGAGTGGAAGAGATAATCGTGGTAGCGGGCATCAGCCCTTGGGCAATGCCATGGGCAAATTAAAAGATCGACTCTCCAGGGTGAGTATGAATTTATTATTTTATTTATATTGTAATTTTATTATTTACAACTAAATGGGATGATGCCTCAAACACACAGCATGGAGTCGCTAATGGAAAGTGTCGAATAACCGATTCTAATACTTTTAAAGAATTTGAAGTTAGGGAATTAATATTGAAATTCCTTACTTTTTTGAAAATGTTTTTTTATTTTCTATTTCCTAGATGAAACAGGTGTATTAACAAAACTCAAGCCTGTACGTTCTCAATATGAAAAAATTTTTAGAAATAATATTTGGGTATGAAAATCAGGCAGTCTTCCTCGTAGGTCATAGTATATGTTCTGTTACAACCTCTTACTGTAAAAATAACAAATCGATTTCTAAAATTTGCTAAATAAACTCCGACACATTTAGAAGAATTTTATATTGTAAAAAAGTAATTAACAAAAAAACTGTGTTTAAAATCTCTTTTAACATTTTTTTTTTTGAGAAAAAATTGGACATTATCTTTTACCCAAACCCTAAAAGTTTAATTTGGAAAGTTTTTGCCTAATAATTTCGTTCTAATTTAATTTTATTATTTTTCTATTGAAACGAGCTTAAGAACTGAAAGCAAAAACGACTAAATCGGGCCAAATTTTTAATAATCTCCACCATTTGGAAAGAACATCCAAAATGTAAATAAGTCCGCTGAATAATACCACTATAATTTCTAAAATTCCAAATATGGGTATTACAGCTATATACGTAAACGTGGAACTTTACAGCCAATTATCTGCCAGAGAAGGTGGAGTTATATTCCCTTGTAATAGCAACAAGATGCTTATATTGTCTTATTAATATTTAAAACAAGTTAAAAAGTAGAAAAGTTCGGCCGGGCCGAATTTTTAATACCTTCATCCACCATTTTGAAGGAACTTGAAGAATTTCAAAAAAAACAAAAAAAAAACGAAAAGTACCACTTAAATGAAAAGCGTCACATGGCGGCTATATGAAGACTTGGACCTGCATACAAAAATTTTTTCATAGGTTGTAGTACTCATTAAGATTTTCCAGTACGAAATTTGAAACTATTCCGGTCAATAATGCTGCTCAAATCATCAAAATACTGAATATTGGGAGTTACCGTTATATGGGAGCTATACGAAGACATGGGCCGACATGGCCCATTTACGAACTTAACCGGCCTACTGGTAAACTAAGCATGTATGCAAAATTTTATATCCCAATTCGTTCAAAAATAGCGTGATTACGAGAGACAGACGGACATAGCTAGATCGTCTTAGAATTTGACGCTGATCCAGAATATATATACATCGTAGGGTCTATTATGAATATTTCGAGGAGTTACAAACGGAATGACAAAGTAATTATACCCTCCTCCATGAAAATAGATCGATACGGCTTATGTTAATATATAGAGCACTACATTCAAAAATGTAGATACCAAAATCAATCAAGGGTAATGTAATTGTGGTCAAACCAGCACAGGGGGGCATTGGACAATTTCTTATATTTTTAGAATTTAAAAATCCGAAACAAAAATATATCTAAAGAGCAGCAGCCCAGAACGATTGTGAAACTGTCAAGTAATAATTATACAAATTAGGTTACAGAATGTTAACTCTTACTTTCGAAAAACGTTATAAAATAAATTAAGACAAAATAAGCCAATCCAAAAGTGATTGTTAGCATCAGAGGGAAAAAAGATGCTGGAAACAAAAACTCTAACAAACATTCAAACAAAAATACTCCATTGCAAAGTTTTGGGACGAAAATAATTTAATGGGATTTGATTGTAATGTTTGATATTTTTGTGTGGTGTTTACATCTTCCGCATTTCACCTAACTGACAAATGACTATTACACTTCAAAAATTATGTTTAACTTAATTTTTATTTATACATAATTAAATTTTAATTTGATACCCCACAATTATGGGTTAGTAGAACGCCAGGTGTTTTTTTAAATATGTATGTACAAAAATATTTGCCAAGAAAATGTTTGAATTAATCATTAAATTTTGTTTGAAGATATTGATGACATTTATTATACCGGTAAATAATTTAAAATTTCCGCAAATAAATATTACAAAATATGAACCTATAAATTCGGTCACTCAACAACAAATTTGCAAAAAAAAAAAAGATAAGAATACGAAAATTCGTTTTTGTTCCCATCCCAAATTGCAATGAACCTCAAAAGAGTCGCAAGACCATTGATGGTTTGAGCATGAGCCGTGGAACATGTTTCATCAAGTATGAAAGTGACATATGCCGAACCGAAATATTTACATATATTTTATTTGAAATCAATTAACAAATAACAGATCGCAGCCATTTCCTACGAATGAAAGAAAGCGACAACGAGCGAACATGTTGTGTTTGATGGGGCATCCATCCATCATCTTATCAATTTTCAATATTTTTCTTATTGTACTGAATTTCAATAATTAATAAATAGCAGAAATTATAAGAATCATGTTAACACAGATTAAACGACAGTTCACAAGTAGAGTAGTTTAAGAAAATCTTCCGCAATATTCAATAATGAAACATTCTTTTTACATCGACGATCAATCACCCCTTGAATAGGAGGAGCAACCATATCAGCGTGTGGATTTGGATGAAGGCACTTTGTCAACCTCAAATACTGCTACCAGCCTTGATACTATTCTACCCGAGGATCCTTTTCTATTTCCCTCACACAACAGACCAACAGCCCCGAGTACACAGCAACAACAGCGTCAACGTTTTGAGGCTGAATTCCCTTTGCAGTTTGGTCCCATCATTGAGGCAGATGATATCAATGAACCTCCTCTGCCCATAAATCCAAAGGTGAAAAATACTCAAGAGCCTTTACCATTGCCGCTGCCACCACCGCCTTCATCGCATTCACATCGTGATCAACACACACGCAGTGTTGTGTCCACAGAAGATTTGCAGCGCAGTAAATCTTCTCTAAAGGGTTCCCGGGTGTCATTTGAGAAGCGGGGCGGTGATGAGAGCAGTGAAGACGACAGCTTTGAGGAGCGTCGCACCGGATTTCAACAACAAAAGGCTGTCAGTAGTGTCGATCACCGAGGTATACTTAAGGATCTAAAAACCATTTTGGCCAATGACAATCGCCGTCAATTTCAATCGAAAAAACATGTATCACTCGATTTGAAGGGAACACGATATCTCAAGGATCTCCTAAAAGAATCATCATCAGAGGAGGAGTTTCGCAAAAATCGTCGTGAATTTCAGGGCCGCAAACATCAAAGTTTGGATCCTCGTGTCTCATTCAAATTGGAAAAAGTATTACAAGGTTCCAGCACAGACAGTGATGAGGAAAATGATGATGTGGAACACAAACGTTTGATATATCGTCCCAAGGACATAACAAAGCCAGTGGTTATCGATTTGAAAGACTTGGAGAGTGAGAGTGAAGAAGATTACGTCTCGTCGAGGCAGCACTTTCAACAGCAACGTTCCATCAGTACAGATTCAAGGAAAAGGTATGGTCTCAATTAATTTCTTCCATAAATGTTTTTTAAATTTTAATTTTTTCTTTGTTAAAATTTCCAGTATACGTTTTTACGAAATGGATGAAATGGGTCGTAAAAAGGGTGAAAATCTGCGCCAAGCTGTACCCTTTGTTAGACAAATTACCGAAGATGGCAAACCAAAGCTGGAAGTTTATAGACCAACGACAAATCCTATATTTATTTGGACACAGGTAAGAAAGAATTTTGTGTTTTAATAATTATTGCACTTAACCCATTTCTAACTACCAATCGATTGAGTCAAGGTTTGTGTAAGACCTTTGAACGGGGGGTTCAATGTATTCCAAAGAAAATGCAATGGAATTAATCTGATGAAATCTTCTTATCACTACGACATTCTCAACAACAATTGTCGCACGTGATGTCTGCTTAGCGACGCAGTGTTCTTAGAAATTAAAGGGATTAGTTTACATCAAATGCATATTTATATGGAAATGTTAATATTTCGTCCGTAGGAAAAGCCTCCACCCTCCCAAGTGACTTTTTTTATTTTGGTCGGTGGGTTTATAAGGCTCCAAGTTTTCTTTGGATGATACATTATTTTGTAACTTTGTACGGCTCTTTCAAGTGATTTTCCATACTTTTATAAATAATTTTAAATACAACCTTAGGAACTCGTGACAACCCCCACTCTTATAACATCAATTCATAGAAAAAATATTTTTTTTCGTTTTACGGTTCCTGAACTGCAAGAATGTAAAAGTTTTTACTACAATAACCGATTTTCCCTTTTTGATATCGAAGAAAATTGCAAAACTAGTTGATTCTTGCAGGTACTGGAACAGAGCAGCTATTAGGAAGGCCCGAATTTTATACGTTTCAGCTCATAATTAGATTTTATTCGTCGTTGCCTAAGAAAATAAATACAGCTTTGAGGCTCAGACTCGCTTACCATTTTTTGTAGTCCAAAATGGATGTTCTTGAAACAAGAATGCGAAAAATAAGTTGTTGTTCTAACAGCTTCAGATGTTTTGTTTAATTTCTGCTAGTCCGCTTCTAACTCAGACAGATTAAAAAATGTGGTTACTTCCACGGGCTGTAACCATAGATCTTCTGGAGTGAGTGGGATAGGTCAATTAAAGAGGTGCAGCGTATTATTCAGCCCTGTATCATACGCCAGGCGGATGTTTCCCACATCTTCGTCAATTCGTGCCCAATACTAATTGAGACGACTGCACCATCCAGAACGAAATTGTGCCAAAACTACCCTGGTTTGTCTGGGCGCGTTTTTCGGATGCAATGAATGTGGGGTGGTGGACTCCGAGCACGGTAGTCATACTCTAATTGTTGATGGGGTCTGTAATTCCATCAGTATGAATGCCACTCAGACCTACCTGATAGATTTCTTTATGTAGAGGCTCTTTCTTGTAGCATGGAACTCCCTCTCTAGATCATGTATTTCCTTCCTGACATGATGGTTTGGATGACTCATACGATAATACCCAAGAACGTTCTGCAACGAAAGCATATGGTCATACTGACGTACTCGAAGGACTTTCGCCTTCTTATGTATATGGTCCACTGGTGTTATAGGGAAGCACCCTGTCGCAGTCCTCAGGGTCCGGATATTCTTCTACTGCGTAGCACTTATTTTCGCAAACCACACTGGAACCGCATAGCTGACCACTTGAACATATTGTCGAATGTGACCCCTAGAATCTTGGGGTAGTTTGTGGTCGGAATTATATTTCCCTCGATCTGCACATTCAGCTCTGTTGTCATCTCCGCAGACTATAAAGTACTCACAAGGAACCTCTTGTCTGGATTTTAAGACAATTCCACAAAGAACCCCTTGTCTAGAATTTCAGACAATTCCATTGAAAAATTTGGCCACAATCATCAAAATACCGAATATCGAGGGGTGCCGTTATATGGAGGCTATACGATATGGTGTATCTATATAGACCATTCTCTTACAGGGGGTAAAGTGCTCAGCAGGAACTCCTTGTGTGGATTTTCAGACAATTGCATTGCAAAATGTGCCTAAAATCATCAAAATATCGGGGGGTACCGTTATATGGGGGCCATACGAAATCGTGGACCGATATAGTTCATCTTCGATCTAATCTTATATAAAAGACTGATCTGCGCAAAATTTTAGCTTTCTATCTTAATTCGTTTTGACTCTAGCATGATTACAACTGACGGACGGACAGCGCTAAGTAGTCTTAGAATTGTACGCTGATCAAGAATATATATACTTTGTTGGGTCTAAAATTATTATTTCGATGAGTTACAAACGGAATGACGTGGAGGGTATAAAAACCTACCATTGTAAATGTTGAGTACTGAAATTTCTACAGTCAGACTATAGACTGACTTGTTTCACTTTAATTCGCGTATGCATTTATCCAACGATTTACACCAAAATGAAACTCACCAAAATTGGCCTTCGTCTAGCCACTAAAGTAGCATGTAATATGCCTGATGAGCCCCCTGACTGGTTAAATGCATGGAATTTTGCTAGATTCCAATTTTCAGTGCCTTCTCCTTAGGTCATTAATACCTCAACCTAAAAAAGAAATTTCCAAAAATATCTCTAGCTTTTGGCATTTTTCAGCCCATTAATCAAATCATACTCTGCTACTAAATAATGTTAAAAACAATATTTTTGAAATATTACTATCTTGCATATATCGTCAGCAACAATATGATCATTGTCAATAAAAACTGTATTTAAAAAAAGTATTCAAAAATGCATTTGGTTTTCAACATTTATGCCACCCACCAGAAATAAAATTTGCTTTGTTACTTTAAGAATATCTAAAGATTAAGCTGAGGTTTTTCTATTAAATTGAAAAAAAAAAACAATTTAGAAAAAAATATATTCACAAAACACATCCACCCACCTTGCCACACACACTCTACCTTGATTTAATTGACCTCTAATTCAATTAAGGAATGAATAGCCTGTTAGCTTCTCTAGGTCTTTGCATGCGGCAGCGAGCTTCCCGACTTTGAAATAACAAAAACTAGATATGCATTTTATGGCGCCTGTCAAACAAAGTCATAAACTGGTAGTAGTATGCAATAAATATCACTGCGAATGATGAATTATGACCATTCGATTCGCATCACACAAAAGGTTGCTGTGCAATACCTCAAGATGTGATGGGGTTAACATGTGGATTCCGATGAAAAGACAATTTCAGTGTCAGTGTGAACTTTTGACTGGCGTTATCTACAACACATTTGGTGGTCCTCTGGTACAGCAGGGAACAAACAATATCAGTTCTTATAATTGAGTGCTACAAAATTGAAAAAAAAAAAAACGAATAAAAGCTATACAAATCCTTTTGCTTTTCAAAAAAGAACAACAACAATACGTACATTTGTAAAATTCCGCATCTAACCGCTTACCAACCAAATTAAAGTGGAAAGTGTGAGAGACAACAAGTATAACAATATGGAGAATGAATTGGCGTGTAGATTTCTGACGAAAACAAAATCATAATTTGAATATGTTATTGTTGTGACTATTTTATTGGTCCCCTTGATTCCTGCTGCTGCAGCTGCAGAATGCAGCATCGATCATCAGACGTTTACGTGGCGTAGCACATCTTATCTTTTTGTAAAATATATTGCATTTTATTTTGATTTCCATTGGACTTTACAACCAAGCAGCTGAACACAGCGTGATGTTTGATAGTTAAGAAAACAAAGACAATTTCCACACTAAAAGTACGGATTAGAGACTGATAGTTGCTGAGCCAAACAAACCACCCAAACAACCCATTTTGCTGAGCAGCAATTTGTGGCGGCAGCAAAACCCACAACAACAACAATTACGAAAGATGACAAAAATTTTGAGAGAAATATTTGCAAGTAGGGGAATAAAAATTAGATAATTTTGGGATTTTTCGCCCAAAATGCTGGGAAATTGGAATTGGATCGTGAATTTAAATTCATATTTGTAAATTTCAATTTAAAAATTTATCCTGGTGAAAATGTTAATCCTTTCTTTTTTGGTTTGGTTTAATATTTATCAACTCAACTGAAAAATTACTTCGTGTAATAATTTGTTGTTGCAGCTCGTACTGCTATGTTAGCTTTTCTTCTTTAATCTGGCTCTGCTTCCAACTCCAAGTTCAAAAAGGAGGCGACCTGTATTGCTTGAGTCCATAGCGATACCGGAGTTAGGTGAGTAGATTTGGCTGGGCAGTCGATGAGGTACAACGTGTCATGTGGGCCTGTGCCACACTCTGGACTGGTGTTCTGTGTGTTGATGTGTTAAGAAATGTTATACTACTTTATATAACCAAGTTTCTGTTTTATCTATAGTAGTTTTTGATTTACTATTATATTACAATTCATGTTGTACATACTCAAGTTTTTCATTCCTAATAAAACTTCTACTACAAAAGGTTATGAGCCCAGGAGTCTCTGAGAAAAATAAAAATTACAAAAATATAGAACTTCAAAAATTTATGAAAATTTTTTTTTTTTTTTTTTTTTTTTTTTGAAAAAAAAAAGAGAATTGTTCAAGAATTTAATCAAGGAAGCAGGCTACAATAACTAATAACTTATAAAAAAAAAAAAAAAAAGAAGAAATGGATTTTGCTAAGCACATCAAGCCTTTGGAAAACGAAACGGACTATCCAATATGGAAACGGAAGATGCGTGATTTATTAGACTATCACGAAGGAGCAATTGACGTTATTGAAGGTAAACTAAAGAATCCAAATCCACCATCCTCTGATGCCACGAGTGAACAAAAGAAGCTGTACAAGGAAAAGTCGGACTTGTATAGAAAAGCAAACAGTTATGCAAAATCCATGATAGCAAGCGCAGTAAGTGACAATGTGTATCAAAAGATAATGGATAAAGAAACTGCTGCTGAGGCTTGGGAATCGCTAATGGTTCAATTTGAGGCTAGATCGAAGGATCAATTATTCAAAATATGTATTGACTTCTTCTCATTTACATGGAATTTAAGTGAAGACGTGAGCTTACATATTGCAAAACTCAAAAGTTTGTGGATAGAACTCAATAACGGATTGAAAGGACGTAAGGAAAATGAGCTCCCAGAAGTTTTATTAGTTTGCAAAATCCTTCAAATTTTACCAAGTCATTTTGATACTTTTAAGTCAAGTTGGATGCTTTTAACAAAAAACGAAGAGAAGAATTTTGAGGAAATGACCGCACAACTCTGTATGTATCAAAGAAATTGCAAAGGTGCTGATGTTAAGGACGAAGAAGCTTTAATGCTTAATAATGTCAAGAAAAAATTCCCACAAACCAATAATACAAAAACAAGCAAGAAAAATGGTGCATGCAATTATTGTCATAAGAAAGGTCATTGGATACGAGATTGCAGAAAATGGATAAGTGATGGTAAGCCTATAAAAGAAAAGAAGGCTGAAGCAATAACTCCTCAACACCAGATTTTACCTTTATTGTATGAAGAGATTAACACAATTAAGGAGGATATTTCAAAGAATTGGTGGATTGATAATGGCGCTACACGACACGTGGCAAATAATAGAAATGTATTTAAATCTTTCGAGAAGTTCAAGGAATGTTGCAAGATTAAAGCGGCCGGTGGTGAAATGTTAGATGTAATTGGGAAAGGTACAGTTGATATCAAGTCTTATGTCAACAACAAGGTAATCCAAATCACACTAACAGATGTTTGGTACGTTCCAAGAGTGTCAAGGAACTTATTTTCTGTTTTATCTGCACAAGACAAGTGTTCAAACAGTGAATTTAAGTCAACAGCAACTGAGTGTGAACTTTGGGTCAATAATAAGGTGATATTAGTTGGTCATCGGGAAAAAGGAGGCACATTGTATCTAGCGGATATTGAAACAGTCATCTCAAATTCAACAAATGAAGTAAATTTAACGGAATCTGATAACACATTGCAACTATATCATGAACGTTGGGGACACCAGAATAAACGCCATGTACAGAAGAAACTAAGGGAGGAATTTGGTATTAATGTAAAACTTGATATGCAAATTTGTGAATCCTGTATTTATGGAAAGTCACATCGATTACCTTTTGGTACTAGAGAGGTTTCTAAAAGACCAGGCGAATTAATGTCAGCTGACGTATGTGGCCCATTCCATATGTCTTTCAGCAAAAGGAAGTATTTGGTCATATTTAAAGATGCATACAGTAAATATTGTTTTGGATATTTCTTGAAGGAAAAATCCGAAGTTAAAACTGTATTGAAGGAAGTTCTAGCTTTTTCAGAAAATCAAGGAAATCCAATAAAAGAATTTTTGAGCGATAATGGTGGCGAATTCGATAATAATGAAGTAAAGCAAATTCTAAAGAAATATGGAGTTACACAGAGACTAACTGCTCCCTACACTCCGCAACAGAATGGTGCAAGCGAGAGGGAAAATAGAACTGTAATTGAGATGGCCCGTACTTTTAAGTACTCGAATAAGAATGTCCAATTTCCTGAAGCTATTTGGGCTGAGTTAGTTCGTACCGCCATATATATTTTAAATCGTACTCGCAAGACACCAGTTGATGACAAAAGTCCACATGAACTTTGGTTTGGAAGAAAACCCAGAATTACTCATTTGAGAATAGTTGGAAGTGAATGCTATGTCCATGTTCCAAGTCAGAAGAGGAAAAAGATGGATTCAAAGGCAATCAAGGGACATTTAATTGGATATGATACTGAAGAGCGTTATAGAATTTACATCAAAGAAAATCAGAGTGTAATTTTGTCAAGAGATGTGACATTTAATGAACAAATTTCAAAATGTGACGATCAAAAGCAAGAGATGAATGAAGAGTTTTCAAATAAGAGAGCTGAAGAAATAAAATTGCCATTTAAATCATATGAGAGATCTAAAGAAGAAGTGTTAGAAGAAGATCATATTCAGCCCAGTACACCAAGATATATTCAAGAGATTCGTTGTGATTCAGATTGGGAAGATGAGATGTTTGAAGAATGTTCGGAAGAAAATGTATCCAATGAGAGTGATTTCCGTGGATTTGATACGATAGAAAATACAATTAGAAATCGTTTAAGAGATCGATCAACGCTACATAACTCGAAGTATGATGACTATGTTATGGCTGCTCAAGATTTTATGTGTGAAGTACAAACACCTACCAGTTTTATTGATGCTGTCGAAAGTACAGAAAAATATCATTGGATAAAGGCAATGAAGTCAGAAATGAATTCCCTCAGAGAAAACAACACGTGGGATTTGATTCAACTTCCAAAAGGAAATAAGGTACTCCCATCAAAGTGGGTTTATAAGATAAAAACTAACCCTGATGGAAGTACAGACAAATACAAAGCAAGATTAGTTATAAAAGGATACAAACAATGCAAAGGTGTAGACTACAATGAAACCTTCAGTCCAGTTGCAAGGTTGGCAGCGATACGAGCTATAATAAGTATAGCTGCAAGTGAAAAGATGCATCTATCTCAATTTGATGTATCCACTGCTTTTCTTTATGGCCACCTTGAAGAAACTATTTTTATGAAACAACCAGATGGTTTTGATGACGGCACAGGAAGAGTTTGTAAGCTTAAAAAGAGTCTATATGGATTAAAGCAAGCTCCGCGGTGTTGGAACCGAAGATTTGGAAAATATTTATTAAAAATCGGTTTTATAGCAAGTGACGCCGATCCCTGTATATACATACGAAATCAAGAAGGGAATAAATTAATACTAGCTCTTTATGTAGATGATGGTCTAGTAGCTGCCACAGACCCCGGCGAGCTGGAAACATTTTTGGAAGAGTTGAGAAGAGAATTCAAAATAACCACAAAAGATGCAAGTTATTTTTTGGGTCTGGAAATAAAGGCAAATGAAAGTGGAATATCAATCAGTCAGGAAGCATACGCAAAAAGAATTCTGGGAAGATTTAGGTTTACTGATTGCAGGCCAGTTTCATCGCCTATGCTGAAAGGAGAAAATTTCGAATCGGGGAAAGACAATGTGAAGTGTTCTCAATTTCCATACAGACAAGCCGTAGGAGCCATTATGTATCTTATGTTGGGAACAAGGCCTGACTTAGCTTATAGCATTGGATTCCTTTCAAGAACATTAGAAAATCCATCCAACGAAGATATTACCCGAGTTAAAAGAGTTTTTCGTTACATATCTGGAACAATTAATTATGGAATATTTTACAACAACGAACATGCTCAAGAGCTAGAATGCTACAGTGATGCAGATTTTGGAGGATGTTTGAAAACCGGAAGATCTACATCTGGTGTTGTTGTAAAATTTGCGGGAGGGGTTGTATCATGGTTAAGCCAGAGACAAGCTATGGTAGCAACATCTACAACAGAAGCAGAAATTGTTGCAGCTTCTGAAGCAACAAAAGAAGTAATTTGGCTAAAACGTTTATATTCTGAATTGATAGAATTAAATTCCACTCCATTGTTATATGTTGATAATTCTGCTGCAGTACGTTTGGCACAAAATCCTGAATATCACAAACGCACAAAGCATATCAACAATAAGCATTTCTTTATTAGAGAAAAAATTTCTGAAAATGAGCTTCAAGTAATACAAATACCTACGCAAGATCAATTAGCTGATTTGATGACAAAACCTTTGCAACCCACAAGACTTAAACTTCTTTGCGATCATATTGGATTACAACAAACAGTCTAACATCTCTTAACAAGGGAAAGTGTTGATGTGTTAAGAAATGTTATACTACTTTATATAACCAAGTTTCTGTTTTATCTATAGTAGTTTTTGATTTACTATTATATTACAATTCATGTTGTACATACTCAAGTTTTTCATTCCTAATAAAACTTCTACTACAAAACTGTGCACTGCTGTCAATTCAAACCCAACAAGAATTCAGGTGGCTGCACCATCCATATCTCAGTTGTGACTAAACAACTCCCCAGATGACCGGTTCTATGTACCGGATTGACTCGCCCAACGCAGCATCCGCTCGTGTTCGTGCATTTTGCTTTGTTGGTCGGGTTAGATTTACAAATTTATTTAAATTATATTAAAAAGGCTCCTCAAAAATTTGTCACCTTTGGCACGAATTATGGCCTTCAAAAGGCCAATGATTCTCTTTTTGAGCGCTTCTGGTTCTTTTTGTGTCGCTTCACACAGCCTTGACTTTAGTTCCAGTTCCAGGTTTTAGTTTCCGGCTTTCTTTCTCTCTTTTTTCTTCAAATTCCCTTCGGTCCATTTCAACAGGGTTTGAAGCATCGATTTTGGTCGTTTTTCATAAATCCGAAATGGCAATCCCTAATGTGATGCATTGATTTTATTTGATTAGCATTTATGGATTTGATTTACTCTACAAATATTCTAATTTAAATTCTAGTCTTATTCTCCATTTCACGCTCAGCTTTCGATTTGTTAGTTGACACATTAGCTATGACTATTACTGCAACCGCTTGAAAAGAGCGAATATTAATTGATTATTTATTTAAGCATTTCGCTGTTTTTTTTTTGTGTTTTCAAAATGTAACGTACAAAAGTAGATCTTATTGATTTTGTAAATAAAATACCGAACAATAGTAATCAGTTCCTGTTTAACTTTCGAACGAACTATTTACATCGGCTCGAGCATTGTCTCTACACGCACACAATATATTGTTGAGTGATCAAGCAAACTTGGAAGAATTCCAAATTCAAGTGACCTTACTTTCAGTTTTGTAGTATTTTTATTGTTGTTGTTGTTTTTTTTTTTTTGGCAATCAAATAAATTTAATGTTCACGTAGAACAAACGCGTTTTACGAATATATATTTTGTAGTTCGTAGACTTAAGTTGAGGTCCTTTTTCTTCCGGCCATCAAGTACTTAATTGAAATAAGATGAAAATTTTAATGAGAGCCGACACCCATGTGTCGTTCCATTTGCCGGATGATGTACCAGCTGCAAAGTGTACATTTTCACAGGTTAATTTCAAATTACAAATAACACCGAATTTATTTCCTATTTTTTTTATCTTAAAAAGGATAATAGAATAAACGTGTAATTTTTTATTAATTTCAGGTATTGGCCGCCTTCAGTGTTTCTCTTGGCTCATTGGTTGTGGGCTTTTCATCGGCCTACACTTCACCCGCCTTGGTTTCCATGACTGATCGAAATATTACCTCATTTGAAGTAACACCACAGACGGTAAGTATTAAATTTATTTTGGTTTTGTGTTTCTATTTCAAAGTAGATGCCTTTCACATATTGCTCAAAATTCTACTTTTTCCCAATTTCAGGCCTCCTGGGTTGGAGGTTTAATGCCCTTGGCTGGTTTGGCTGGTGGTATTTGTGGTGGACCCTTAATTGAATACTTGGGGCGGCGAAATACAATTCTCGCCATAGCCGTACCATTTATTATATCATGGCTTTTGATTGCCTGTGCCATAAATGTAGCCATGGTATTGGCCGGACGCGCTTTGGCAGGATTTTGTGTTGGCATAGCATCGCTTTCACTGCCAGTCTATTTGGGTGAAACCATACAACCAGAAGTGCGTGGCACATTGGGTCTACTTCCGACGGCATTTGGTAATATCGGTATATTGTTGTGTTTTGTGGCTGGTACTTATATGGATTGGTCAATGCTGGCATTCCTTGGCGGAGCATTGCCTGTACCATTTTTAATTCTGATGTTTGTTATACCTGAAACACCACGTTGGTATGTTTCACGTAATCGCGAGGAAAGAGCCCGTAAAGCATTGGTGTGGTTGCGTGGCAAGGAAGCAGATGTTGAACCAGAATTGAAGGGCCTCTTGCGTTCCCAGGCCGATGACGAACGTCAGGCTAGGCAAAATCAATTGATGGAGTTGCTGAAACGCAATAATCTGAAACCATTGTCGATTTCATTGGGTCTGATGTTCTTCCAACAGTTCAGTGGCATTAACGCCGTAATTTTTTATACCGTGCAAATTTTCAAGGATGCCGGCTCAACTATTGATGGTAACATTTGTACCATTATTGTGGGTATTGTGAATTTTGCAGCCACATTCATTGGAATTGTATTGATTGATCGTTTGGGCAGAAAGGTAGGTTGTCACCAAAACGCTGTTATGTTAGCAAATAGTTATTCTGTTATATTTTCCAGATTCTATTGTATATTTCTGCTGTGGCAATGACCATTACTCTATTTGTTTTGGGTGGTTTCTTCTACTGCAAAGCCAGTGAAATGGATGTTTCAAATGTTGGCTGGCTGCCCTTGGCCAGTTTCGTGGTCTATGTTCTGGGCTTCTCATTGGGTTTCGGACCCATTCCCTGGCTAATGATGGGTGAAATTTTACCCGCAAAAATTCGTGGTTCTGCAGCTTCTGTTGCTACTGCATTTAATTGGACATGTACATTTATTGTTACCAAGACTTTCCCGGATATGATTGGTGGGTAGAATTGTACACACCCTTGTCCTCAATTTCTATAAAATTTATTTTTATTTCAGAATCAATTGGTGGTCATGGTGCATTTTGGCTTTTCGGTGTAGTTTGCGTAATTGCATTGTTCTTTGTAATTGTCTATGTGCCAGAAACCCAAGGCAAGACCCTGGAGGATATTGAACGAAAAATGATGGGCCGTGTTAGACGTATGTCATCGGTGGCCAATATCAAACCATTGTCTTTCAACATGTAAACAATCTGAATAGTGTGATGCTAACGAATATTAATGACGAGTGCAAACAAAAACCAGAATAAAAAATCCTCATGATGTATAGTAGAATAAGCCATAATTGTCGCTGCACCATCAACAAATCTTCACCTTTGCCATGCATAATATAATCCCATTTTTAAAAGAAATACACATTAAGAAAAACCAAATATTAGCTATAAGTAGTAAGCAAGTCGGAGAAGTGTGGGCTAAAACCTCTAGCCCATCAGTTAGACAGGCAGTTAGTGTTTCTTTATACAAGAAAACAGAATCGTTATATTAGAAAAGCAAAAGAGAACATAACGTATTTAAAGCTTAGCTTTCATTGTCATTATTAATATTATTTTTGTTATTGTATAAGCGAATGAATATGAAACGATTGGTATTTTATTTTTTAAATTGTCTAAAATAATTATAAATAATAATTTATGTTAAAAAAAAAAAACAAAAAGTATACGCGCATTGTACCAACATAATTGTCATCAATGTAGGCATTGATGATAGTCATTGGTTCTAATGACAGTTTTTTCTTTTTTGATGAGCAGTTGTAGTCTATAAATGTAGAGATTTTAACTATAGTTTTGTTGTATTAACAAAATATGTAGATCATCTAACTCCTCTTATTTTCTTTTAATAATTTGTATTGTTATTATGAATTAAGTTTAAGAAATATCAATAATAATAATAAAATGTTGTAATGTGAGAACAATATGTATGGATCTTTACACAGACACCGATACAATTTTACTATATTTTATAAATTATTATTTAAATGTTTTTAAATAAACTAAAACAGTAAACAAGAACAGATTTTATTGCAAAGGGTCAGCTCACATTGTTGTGTAAGTATATAAGTGTACTGTATTTTATTTTTTATTTACATATTTACAAACCCTGTAAATTATTGCGTTTTATTTATTTATTGGACTGGTTTGATAACAATGACATCGGAATTGCCTTTTTTGTATTGATTTTTACGTTATTGATGTCTTTAAACAACGTGTAGAAATGAATCTACAGACATACCTACGTAAATTTTGTTTCTTATCAGCAAAATCTATTATTCTTATTAAATATGAATAACTAGTAGCTGCTTCAAATTTGCAAATTCGATTTATTTATATGCAACAACCAGTTTTACTTTAACTATTTATGCCCTTCACTGCTGGGACGATGGGGAATGCTAGGTTAGTGCTGGGCCATAAGTACAGATGGTATTTCAGCATCATCACCAATGTAGATAGATACTTTTTATTAATACAGGGTGAAATAAAAAACTGCAACAAAGTCAATTTTTTTACTTTTTTAAAATTTTATGGAATGAAAGCAAAAAATATCGAAAATAGCATCAAATTTTACAATAAGTTTAGATTTGTTTGAATTGGTCGTCTTTGGCACGAACTATGGCCTTCAAACGGCCAATGAAACCGTCACACGCTGCCCGAATGTTGCTCTGCGCTTGCTTGAGGTGATCGACACTTCGGTATTTTTTAGTACCAACCTTGCTTTCCAAAATACTCCAGACACAATAGTCCAACGGATTGGTATCCGGTGATTTTGGTGGCCATTGTGCGCTGGAAATGAAGCGAGGAACCTCATTTTGTAACCATTCTTGGGGGGCGTGTGCTGAGTGCTCATGGTGCTGAGCCCTGTTAGAATGTCCAAGGTCTGCGGCCAAAATATTTGCGTGCCCAAGTCTTTAATACACCCTCCAGAATATTTTCGCGAAAATATTCGGTATATATTCTAATGCCACAGTCAATTAATACGAGCGGAGAGCGACCATCGGCTGTTATGGCGGCCCACACCATCACCATGGCCGGCGCTTGAGTTCTGGTGGCCAGCCAAAGGTGCACATTTTCAGCTGACCTCTTTGGCAAGTAAACACGATCATTTTGTTTGTTACAAACTGCTGGAAAACGAATGTTTTCTCATAGGCGAAAACCAAACTCGGCAGTTCACCACTTTCGACCAAGCGAAGCAACCCTTTAGCTCTTTTGAGTCTATTTTCTTTCTGCTGCGGTGTAAGTCCTTGCACTTTTTGGAATTTCAGTGGCTTTACCCCGAGCTCAGTTTTCAATATTTGCCGAATGGAATATTGCGATATGTTCAGCTCACGAGCCATTTTTCGGCCACTACGACGCGGGTTTCGATCAAGTCGCTTCTTTACTTTTCGAACCATTTCTGCTGATGTTGCTGTTTTCTTCCATCCACTTTCTTGACGTCGGGCTACGCTGGTACGAAACACAAAAAATGTATTCACATTTAAATGCTGCAGCGCTCTAACGATAGCCACTTGTGTTTTTCCAGCCAAATATAAAGAAATCACACTATCACGCTTGAATTCGATCACGAATAACTTTTTTTTTCTGGAATATGCTTTTGTACGCTTGTACACAATATAATAAGTTGTAACTGGAATAATTTTAACAGCTGTCGGACGAGTGGCTTAGAAATGACAGCAGTTTGAAATTTGTTGCAGTTTTTTCATCTCACTCTGTACATACTTTATGGGATCTATGACGAAGTTAGAGGGTATAAAAAACCTCGAAATATGTCTCTACAATATCTACTATACGAAAACGTGGACCTTTACACCCAATTATCTGCCAGAGAAGGTGGTGCCTTTAAAATACTGTAATCTCTCGTTACAGTTATGTGAGATCTATACCAAAACGTGGGCCTATATAGCCCAATTTCAATACCAAAACTCCTGCAGATATTTTCTGACTAAAATATTATAAATCTACTTCATTTTGTTTGGAAGCTAGAGTGATTTTCACAATCGGACGGACATCGCTTAATCGATATATAATATTATGTTGACCAAGTATATGTATACTTTGCTGGGTTTAAAATGATGGAGGATATCAAAGAACATCTCTTGTTCTAGGAAAGGTAATAACACAGCTGTTTCAGAACAGCAAGAATGTAAAGTGCATTGCTTTATTGGGGTCTCTTGTTGGTCACCATTTTAATAAGCTTTCAAATGATACCCATATTGTCTATAACGGTTCATTAGATCCGGGTATTTAACCCGCATTTTCTGCTCAAATATCTGGGTACCCGGGTCCGTCCCCCAAGAAAACATACATTCCCGGTAATCAGGAAACATCCGAGGTTTTACTAAACTATAGTTAGGCCAGTATTTTTAAAGAACTTCTTAATCCGATCTACGCTTCCTGGTCAGCCAGACCGAACTGGTCTTAATAATACTGACCGCTTGAATGTATAGTAAATAATATATTATGCATAGTATTTTTTTTATTTTCAGAGCGCGACAGGTTTGAAACATTTTGAAATATATCAGTACCAACAAGTTGTTAAAAACATCATAAGTTACGATTTAGAAGGTCTTAAATTCTAATTATAGGAATGGATGACTTACCCATGACTTGGACACGACAAATAGCACAAATATCACATTCGACATCCCAGCTCCACATAGCCACGGCATTCCACTTTTTCAGCGTAAACATTTTCTCAGGTTTGGTGCCATCGTTGTCATCAATTTGTTTATCCATAGAATTTTCACTTTCATCCATGACTAAACAATATTTGTATTAAACGTAAATGTGTATAATTTTCTGTCCTTCAGCAATGAGATGTCAAATACTGGTTGTTTCCTGGGCTTACTTGTCCTGCTAGTTTTTTAAAATTTCCAATAGTTTAAAACAATTCGACTGACGCCAAACAAAAGCTCCTAGAGGATATGCGAATGATAAACAAAGACCGAAACGGGAATGAGTGATAAATTATAAATCAAAACAAAAAACAAAAATTAAATAGTCATCAGAAGATCGAAACTGTGTTTGCAGGGTTTTGGCACACCAATTTCGCCAAGAAACATATGTTAGTGCCCACTGAATGAACAAATGAATGCTTTTCACATTGAAATGGTGACATTTGCAAATAGGGATCTATAAGACAAATAGCCGTTATATTTGAAGTAGCGCGAAGAGAGGGAAACAGCTTTCTATGTAGATACATGTGCTTAACTTGTACATAATTTTGTAATAATGTATTTTATGTTTTTTTTTTTTTAATATATCTGCGAATAATCTTCTGGCGTTCTCTATGTTAAGCATGGTACATAAAAAGTGTTTTGCATCCTCGAGCTAAAATTCCTTTCCCCCCTCTTTTTTTAATATTTAATTCTGTACAACGCTACGAGCGTTCCACGTTTACGATTGTTCAATTACATCAGTAATTTTATATGTATTTTGATTCGGCTGAAGCCAAAATGCATACACTTGTCCGCAGATTTTTGAGGAATAGAGTATCTAACATAGAATTGGAATGAAGATTTTGTGACGTGTACTTTCCCTCTGCAATTTAATGAAGAACTTTAGCCAACTTTTCTTAAAATGTTTACTTTTAACATTATGATGCGAATAACTCATTTTCCACTTTCAAAAACTGATGCTATTTAAAATTGGAACAAGTTAAAAAGCAGTAATTTCGGCAGGGCCGAACTTTGAATACCCTCCACCATTTGGAACGAATTTGGAAATTTTCTAAAAATAAAACCCGTTGAAAGTTCTGTTAAAATCTTAAAAATACCTAATATAGCCGTTATATTGGTGTCTATACGACATGGACTTACATAAGCATTGTTTGTCATAAGCCATTACCATATTCAAATTCGAAACGTGAAATAAACGGTGAATAATGTAGCTAAAATCACCAAAATGCGAAGGTACCGTTATATCGGAGCTATACTGGACCTGCATAGACTGTAGCATCCATTAAGAACTTTAAATGCGACATCTCAAACAATTTCGGTGAATATTGTACCTAAAATCGTCAAAATACCGAATATAGGGAGGTACTGATATATGGGGCCTATTAGAAGACCTGAACCTGCATAGACAATTTTCTGCCACAGACTGTAGTACCCATTACGAACTCTAAATACGTAATTTGAAACTACTCCGGCGAATATTGACGTTAAAATCATCAAAATACCGAATATTGGTATTGGTGGTATCGTATATATGGGGGCTATATGAAAACGTGGACCTGCACATACAATTTTCTGCCATAGGCTGTAGTATCCATTACGAACTTCAAATACCAAATTTGAAAGAATTCCGATGAATAATATCGTTAAATCATCAAAATACCGAATATCGGGAGGTACTGTTATATGGGGAGCTATATGAAAACGATGACCTACATTGCCCATTTACGAATTTAACCTGCCTACTAGCAGAAAATAATTGATCAAATTCAAAATTTTAAATAGCATCAGTTTTTGAAAGTGAAAAAAATATATATAAATTTTTTTGGAGTGCGACTAGTAGTTCAGCTTATTAATACGTAATATAGAATTTTTAAAATATTTAGCAAAAACCTCTAACGTCTATCCAAAATTTCGACGTCAGGATACATAACTTTCCACTTCGTATCCTTCGTTAAATTTCCGCCAACATTTGTTTAATATTAAAAATTAAATTTAGGCTATGTTTATGAATGGCAAATAAATTTAAATTTAATTAAAATAATCAATAAACAAATTTAATTAAAATAAACAAAATAAACAAAACATTTAATAAAAACTCATATTTTTGTAATTGTTTTTATTTTTTTATTATTTAAATATTCAATCAAAAATAGTTTTAAAAGTTTTCTTATTATTCTCATTTAAAATAGAAATATGTATTTTTATGCAATATATATGTTTGTATGGGGAAGAGGAAGAATAAATATGATTCACATGTATATAAATGTACAGTACAAATATTGTATGCAAATATTGTTGTTAAACTATTTTCTGTGATCAGTCGTCTGTGGAGTAAAACAAAATATCCAGATTTGTTATTCAATTTTTTTGAAAAAGCTATTGGCAACAACAGAGGCCTGGAAAATTCAATTGTGTTTTAAAACAAATCTAAATATTTTGCTAGCTTCTCTTCCGATCTACATTTATTTTATTTCAATTTTATATATTTTGCCAAATTAAACATTTTTTTTTGTTTTCCACATGGATTTTCAAAATTCATTTGTTTGTGTGTTCAGTTTAAATGTTTAATTTGTGTGTTTCATACTTCTAGAAAAAAAAAACCAAGACAAAATTCAAATTAATATTTAAAAGAATGGCAAAAATAATAAGAAAATCAAAGTAAAAAGGTAAATTTCAAATTCCCTCATGTTTTTTTGTTTTAAACAAATTATAGCAAATGAAAGAAAATTTTAATAATATAAACAATTTTGGGCACTTTAACGAAAAACGCTTTGTCGTTTTTGTTGTTAGGCAGCATCATATAATGACAATATGTTTGGGTTGTTTCTTTTCTTTAGCAATTCACAATAGTATAATAAAAACAAAAAAAGTAAAAAATTAACAATTAATAAAAATAATTTACTACAACTACAACAATTTGTAGTTAAAGTTTGTTAACAAAACTAGGTTTTAAAAATTACGGATAATAATGTAGTTACATATTTAGATTTACTCTGTTAACTGTTGCAGCAACATCTGGACATGGCATTTAATTTGAAAAAGTGCGAGCTGGAGTTTCACTTTTTTGGTGGCTGAATGGCTTGGCTTTTGAATCATATTCTCCTTTTTGGCTTTGTTGTTGGATTTCATTTGGAGTGTAGTTTTATTAGTTTGAAGCCGCTACAGCCACTGGAGCCGTAGTAGTTGCATTGTTAGTTGGTTGTTGATTTGCATCGGCTGCAGTGGGAGTATCGTTTGCCACTGGAGTTTCAGTTTTTATTAACACATTGTTGTTATTTGTGCTAGTATTATTGTTGTTGTTATTATTGTTCTTTTGTGAACGTTGATTACGTTTGTTGCGGTTTTTGGGTGATTTTGTTGTAGAATCAGGCAAATTAGCATTGTTACCACTAGCTTGTTGCTTATCACCACCGGCACCTTGCTCAACAGGAGCACCATTAGCAGCAGGAGGAGCCACTTTACCATCGTTTCTAACATTGCTGCGTACTGGAAACAAAATGAAATGTAAATTAATGAATTGGTTTAACGAAAGTTTGTATATCTGAATTTCGAATAACACCATTACCAAATCAAGTGTAAACTTACAACGCCTATTACGCGAACGATTGATTGGTTTAACAACCGGTTTAATAGTCGTCTTGGCTGGATCATAGTAGCTGTCAAATAAATCAGCCAATTCTGTTTTGTCCTCATCCTTCAGCTCTTCTATGGCCTGCAAAACTTCAACAAGGCCATCACGTTTCTTTTCAGTCCAGATGGCATTGAGAGTTTGCAAATCATAACCATGCTCTGCCAGGATAATACGGAATTTAACAGCACGCACACGATTGTAAAGTGTTGACTTGAAGTAATTCAAAAATACTGGACGGAATGAATTTTGGCGATCCAGATTTTCATTTTGGGTTTGCAACTCATCCAAATCACATTGAATGGTTTGGGCATAAGGATTTATGGCCGTTAAAAATTTATCGAGAGCATTTTGAGAATCGAGATCTTCCTTCGAGTCTTGATTACTTAAATGCAAAGCCACTTCATAGGCTAATTTGGCACGAACACTGGCACTTCCATCGAATAATTCACCTTCATTATTGTTTTGACTAGACTTATTGTTAGTCTTTTGTTGCAGCTGTTGCTCTTTAGTGGCAACTGCTGCAGCACCTTCAGTGGTGGACGATGCCTCCACATTATTGTTGTTTAATTCAACACTGTTCACAGCGTTTGATTTCAAAAACTTGGATAGTTTTCGCAATGTATAATGTTGCAGGGACTCATTGACATTGGCCTTGGCCAAATTGAGACCGTTAGCGAATGACTTAACAGTAAGTAAAAACCTGTCCAGCAGGTTATATTTTTTAAGCGATTCCAAAATCATATATGGAATGAATTTACGCTCTTCATGATACAATAAAATAATACCTTGCGATGTGGCATCTTTAGCTTTCAAAGCTTCGAGCCAAGCGAGAAAATCTTTGAGAGCAGCGATTTCAGATTTTGATTTAATGATCTGTAAGTAAATGAATAAGGAATTGAATGTCGTCATGTATTTGGGTATAACAAAACACATCATTATTTTTAAGAAGAATGATATACATTACCTTGTATGTTTGCATAGACTTGAGCATGCGATAGAAGCCAATGGAAATCACACGAACTTGATGACGTTGACGAGCAGCTGGATTCAAATTCATATATGGCATAATATACTGTTCGAAATGATCTTTGGGAGTATAAGCCGCCAGCTGAACAATCTGAGAAATATACAAGTACGATATATTTTGAATTTAGACAATTTAAAACAAAAATTTATCAACGTTTATTTTTAAACTAGTATTTATTTGGTGAATGATACTACTTAGTTCATGTAAGGTTTGAAAGATAATTAGTTACATCCTTCCACTGTTTGGTGCGGATTTTCGCCCAGGTTCATAATTAGCCCCTTTTTCTTGGAAAATAAGCAGTGTGTGACAGTTACGTTATCGGGTCATGTTGAACAAATTTTTATTCACACACATTGAAGAGGATATTGGCAACAGCCGAAGCTTTTTATACCCTCAGTCATAGGGTTCAGATGGTATATATTATTTGATACGAAAAAAACGTGCCTCATCCAAATAACAGTTTTAGACCCGAGGTCTCTATGTACCAAATCCGTTTCCGTCCGTCCGTCTGATTTGATCCAAGCTTGGTACGTCGTAATATTATTGTCAAACTTAGATCGAGTTCGGATATGGGCTATATCTGTCTACTCCTTCTGGCACCTCCCACACAAAATGTCAACAACAAAATGTCAATGTCAAACATTTTGCATATCCTAATATTTGCACCAGTTCTAGGTAGGACGCGAAAATGGACAATATCGGTCAACTCTATCGAGTATCTCCCTCACCCCACAAAGGGAATAACTTTTAACTCTTATAAAATGTGATGTAAGATTCCGATTGTCTTCAAATTACACAAATAACTATATTTTTATTATACCCAGGTGTGAAGATGGAATATATTGGTTCACTCCTTTTGGCACCTCTCCTACAAAGTGTCAATATTTTGAACATACATGAAGCTCATAAAACACGAACTTAACATTCGATTCCATTCAGACTTGGCATATCTCAATGTTTCCATTAACGCAAGATCTATTATAGAGATCGGATCATTCATTCTGGTACCTCCCCCACAAACGGCCAAAATTTTGAATAACCAAAACGATCATACAATCTGAAATAAGTATCAGTTTCTCTTTAAATTACAAACATCACCATATTTTTATTAACCCAAGGTCTGGTGTGATGATGTAATACATCGGTCCACTCCAAACGGCCAATGGTTTTCCAGACAAATATAAAGAGATCACACTATCACGCTTGAATTCCATCACGAATAACTTGTTTGCTCGAAAATTCTCACCAAAATGCTTTTGTACGCTTGTAAACAATATAATGAGTTGTCACTGGAATAGTTTTAACAGATGTCGGACGAGTGGCTTAGAAATGACAGCAGTCTGAAGTTGATTGCAGTTTTTTCATCTCAAGCCGTACTTCGGTCCGCTATAGCTGTTACCTTATAGGAAGTAGTCGATGTCCTCCAAATCTGCCACGTTGTAATATTTTTATAAGTCTTATGCCAGATACGAATTGGTTAATATTGGGCAACTGCTTCGGAACCTCCCCCATAAAGGATCAACAATTCGAATAATTATTCTATTTTAATTAAACTCAAGGTTGGGAGTATAAATCTGTCAGCAAAATCGACTGATACAATTTTACTTGTTTGACTACCATTTAAAAGTCTTTCTTCCTTCTCTTTCAAAAATATTGAAAATGTTATTTTGGATGGTTAACAAAAAATTTTTCAACTTTATAAAAATCGTAGTAATAGGATTAGTTTATTATAAAATTTTAAAGCCTTTCCGGAGAAATTGAAAACATACAAAACTTACTGAAAATAAACGAAATGAACAACGGAAAATGCACTACTACTAAACAATTGAGTAAAACGTGACTTTTTTGCTGAGAAAGAAATTAAAAATATACAACCAGTGAGCAATAGCTAGCATTAATGAGCTCTCAGAATGCACACTCACACACGTTCATACAAAATTATAATCATTTTTAACAAGACTATGATGACAAACTTACCTCGTCAATTAATCTGCGTCCGGTAGTGTCAATATCAATACCAACTAAAGTGTATTTGCCCTTTGGTAGGGGTGTTGTGACATTGTTGGAGTTACCATTTGGTGTGGCAACAGTAGCAGTAGCAGCGACCATTTTGTTAATTCTTTTGTTGAAACAAAATTAATTCCTCTTTTTCAAATGCAATTTGTTTTTGTTGTAACACTCAATAGCTATGTGTTTTATTGCTGAAAGTACTCACTGCAAAGAAAAAACAACAAAGAAAAATATTAATGTTTATGTAAACAAAAAAATTATTTAAATGCATTTACACAGAAATTGAGGAGCAGAATGCAATGACGATGACGACCACACAAGCAGAATTAAACTGAAAGATCCAACACAATTCAGCACTGAGCGATCGATCGAGCACCAACTTTGTTGTTTCTTCTTTTTTTTTTTTGCAACTAAATTGTTGTATTGCTCTTATCGTCGTTTAGATGACTTGAGAGTTATTTACGTTTCAAATATTTTATGGTTTTTACTGTTTGTGCTTATTCATAATTTTCTGTCCGAAATTGTCCAGCGGAGAGTTGGGTTTGGCGCAAAAAGGGTGTTTTGCTTTGTAAGGCAAAATTAAAAATGTTTGTACAATAGCAAAATTGAACCTATATAAGCAGTCTGAGCAGCTAGGGTAAACAAAAAACGACAATCGTGTTTTAATCTGATAAAAATTGTAAAGGAAGAGGGGGAAGACCCTTTCTTTAAATCGATGTTATAACTATCGAGCTTTTTTATTGTGTTAATATGAAGTAAGCGACATCAATCCATTTTTCATTTTCATTTTGGGATAATAGGGGAAATACTTAACAATTATTATTTCTTTTATGACTTATTTTAGTTTTTTTTTTTTTTTGGTTTTTTATACCCTCAGCCAAATAGCTCTTATAAAACTCTACAACTCTTATAAATTTCACACATCCCAATAATTTTATTAGCCCAAGGTCTGGTGTGAGGATGGAGTATAGCGTATCACTACTTCTGATACATCTCCCACAAAGTCATATTTAAAAAAAAAAATAATAATTTTTTTTTGCACAGAAAGGTTAGCTATAATCCAATTTTGCACCTTAAATCTGGCGGCAAAATGCCGACATATATGACCCATTTTCAATACCAAACATTCTACGGACCTAAAATGCTAGAGTGATTTCCATAGACTGACGGAAATGGCTAAATCTACATAAAAAAGTATGATGTGGAATTATAGAATTTTTGGGCTTAAATTAAGTTTACACTCAGCTGACGGAAAAATCTACTTAAAAATGGATTAAATTTATATAAACTTTGTCGTTTTTTTGACCCTAGATGAGGAAATTTGGTTCGCGAGGAAGGTATTGGAAATAGCAAAGTAAAAAAGGGTATTTTGGTTGTTATAATCAAGATGAAAACCCCTATCTTCGGTAAAATGGTCAGATTTTTTTGTAAATTAAATTTTGAAAATTGTAAATTAAATTATTAAACTTTCAATGGTATATTTGGCTTTGTTAAAAAGAAAAGAAATATATTCAAATCTGATTTTTCGAGAGATTTTAAAATGGCTACCATACCAAAAAATTTCAAAATGTAATTTTTTAGGCAACGCTTGGAAATAAATAATCGATGATTTGTTTAAAATAAAGCAACATAGAGATAATAAATTTCTACTCCCAACAAAAAGAACTTACCAGTAATATAAATAGAAATTATTTATATGTTCACAATTATCGAATGTGAATATTAACTTCCACTTAAATATAACGAATACTTTAATATTATCACTTTTAACTAGAATTGAAAAGATCCTATTTTGAACCAGCAAAAAGGTCTTATGCAATACTTCTTCGTTTTACAAATAGATTTACTAAAATGAAGTCGGAGCCCTCTACCTTTAGCAAAGCTACCTTTTCCCAAAAAGAATTTCTAACGGAATACTTCCAATAAGGCAACAATAAAATCAGTTAAAGAAAAAGGGATATCGAGTACATAAAGAAACAATAATTATACTTAAGCTATCTCGCTTCACACACAAATTACGTGGAGAGTAATATTCCAATGAAATTGTCACTTTGGAGTTAGAAAAAAAAAAATGCTAAATTACCGATAGAATCTTCCAAGAATTGAGTGGTAAATTAAAATTGCATCCAACTACAACTTTGCTTCTTTTCTTGAGACAAATTTTCTTGCTTCAGCTCTTTAAATCGCTTCTGGGTTGGATTTTTATTGTATTTAGCAGCCGGCGTTACATGGACCCAAAAATAATTTGCACACGAAAACTATAATTTTTATTTCAAAATGAACTTTTTTCAATACTTCTTTTGACATTGAAATTGCCAAGCCTATTGTGGTTCAAAAACAAAAAAAAAACAGAGTTAGAAATAAAGACAAGTAGTTTTTATGCAAAGTTGGGGAAATACATGTTTTTTTGTGGAAAATAAAACACCCACATCTCAAGCTCGATTATTACCTCAAGCTTCTATAAATTTGTATTGACTTATTTTAGACACAACAATGTAGTCATACATAAACTGTTGCGGTTTAGATGTTATGTTGGCTAGTGGCTATTTTTCTTCCTTACGTAGCTATTTTTTATGGTCGTTTGCATGGATCAGTCATATCAAGTGGTCGACTCAATATCGGCAGGTTGAAGTGGGGGAGGCAACAATTTGCTTTACTTACAGAAAAAATGTGGTTTTTATAGACCGCAATCAATGTTTGGCACTGTCTTCACCGTCTCTTGAAATAACAATTTCTCTATAAATTCTTTGTGTTTTGTACTTTTGATGTTTTTTCTATTGTTTTTCTTCTTTTATTTAATTTTTATAATTTTAACCGAAAAAATCCCGTTGAATTTGTTCTAGAAATAAACAACCACGAACGATAGCAGAATATCAATGAAATGAAACCGATTGACTCTGTAGTCTGATATAAGTGTGAATGGAACAGAGTTGCATTCACAACGACTTGACAGTTGTCATGATCAGTGATGAGACATAACTTTGGTACACAAGAAATTACAGTTTGTTTGTTTGAATTAATTATTAAACTATTTTGCATCCCATGACCAAAATATTAATAAAAAATATTGTTATTTAATGCCTTCAATTAGATTTGATAAATTAATTATTGTATTATTTAAGTATAAATGTGTGTGTTTATGAAGAATTTGAATATATTATTACAGCCACTTTAACTGGAAAATGTAAGTAGGATTCACAAAACTTCATGTGAAACTAGCAAATCATTATATTTTAGCCTGTGTCAATGACTGGTGTTTTTAATTTGTTTCTGGTAATAAAAGGTCCATGGTAGACTTTTTTCAAAATTATACCTTTAACAACATCTCATTTTCAAAATGTTTATTCATAAATTCATTTTATATACCATGGTAGAAAAATACAGGTAGACGCGCCTGGGACAATCAACTGTCAAACCAATATTGGAATCAAAAATTTTGAATGAAATTTTTTTAAATTTGTAAAAATTGTTGAAAAATAAATATTATAACAAACTCCAATTGGTGTCGTATAAGAAAATATACAAAAACATACGTATTTAAAAAAAAGACATCTAAAAATGTTTGACATATCAATGTTCCCAAGCTTTGATGCATCTACCTATATTTTTCTGCCATGGTATATACACAAATCAGAAATTGGAAACCATTTTCTATGCAGTTAAAATTTCATTTCATTTATTTACCTTACAAAGAAATATAAATAAGCCCACAGGGCCCATAATAAGGTAAATTACAGAAAATGCAAAGCTGGGAATTCTTATTTGAAATGACTTTACCTTCTTGTAAATTTGTAGGTTATACAAATTACACGTCTTTTACATCTAACAGCTAACGTCGGCAATTACTTTCGAATAATTATACCATATTTATATTCATACCTCATGACAAAATTCACGCATAACGTTTGAACGATATTAAGAAATGTTGAAATTAAAATTTTTAAAAATATCGTAATGTTATTCTTTTCTCTAATGTGCATGCAATGCAAAAATATTTTGTGTTATCATTCCAATGTGAATGTCAGTTTGTCGCCATACGCTTTTCAGTTTCCTTTTTGCGCCAACATTCCTGACCAACAGCTGTTATACTTCGTTGCTACTCCCTTCATTCGTAACAACGTACGTGTGTCGTTTTGCTTCTTCCCTCATTCGTAACAAGGTACATTTTAGATTTTCCTTTAAATTCCTTATCCTGGTGAATTTTTCTTATTTCCCTATTTTACTAATTAAAACATAAGCAGCGCGCTTTGGGCTAATTCCATTTCAACCAAAGATATTACATCACACAAACATTCAATATTGGTGCACTGTTGGTGACATCGCTACAGTCGAATCTCTGATAAGACGTACCTCGAAACACATTGCAGCACTAACTACTATGTTGGCTTTTATAAAACGTAAATTGTCTGAATCGGATTCCACAGCGAATTCGAACGCCGGCACAACAGATCAACAGTTGGCCCGTAGAACATCACAAATGTCTTTGAATTCAAATGAGGCCGTTGACATGGGTGAAGATGCCCTGTTAAAGGAACTGGGCTATAAAAATGCCACTGATTTACAGGAGACAGTTTATGGTAAGTTTTACGCCGCATACTCTTGCATGAGTTTCACATTTTATCCATTTTTGTTGTAGATTGCTTGAGGACAATAAGAGACCCGGAAAAGCCTTCAACATTGGAAGATTTAAATGTAATCTATGAGGATGGTATATTTGTAATGCCACCCACCAAATCAAATGTCTCAGTGGTAAGTTTTAGGCAATTGCTATTGAAAAAAAGTAAAATTATTTTATACAACAATATTGTCTCTCTAGGTGCGCATTGAATTTAATCCCACAGTTCCTCATTGTTCATTGGCCACATTAATAGGTTTGTGTATACGCGTCAAGGTGGAGCGAAGTCTGCCGCACAACATCAAATTGGATATTTTTATTAAAAAGGGCACCCACAATACAGAAGAAGAAAGTGAGTATAATTGGGAATAAAAGCATTAGCCATTAATTTACTTGTTTAAATCTTTGGCAGTTAACAAACAAATCAATGACAAGGAAAGAATTGCAGCGGCAATGGAAAATCCAAATCTGCGGGAATTAGTGGAGAATTGCATAAAGGATGAAGAGTGATACTGGAAAACAAAATTCTAAATATCTTAAAACTAAATTTAGTGTAGAATATTAAATGTGTTATAGCGACACGTTGAGACGTGCCTAAAGGGATAGTCCAAGTTTTTTTTTGGTTTGTGTGTGCAGTTCGCCGAGCACCATAATCATATTTGGTTCATATATTTTTATCTTATTTTTTTTTTTTTGTAAAAATAATTGATATGGTTTGGTTTTTATTAAGATTAATCGTATGTTTATAAGTAATGTCGTATCAAAATAGACAACAGAAAAAATAATAACAATGTCGTGTGCACACCAATTGACTGGCCAGTAGTAGTAAGTGGCACCAATAACTAATGTGTATGCCTAGTAGAATCAAATCAATATGGCGCTCATTGGCGTGCATCACCTGTAATTTCTGAATGAAGTTCTGTTATCAACAGACTAGAATGGGGTACTATTTGCGGATAATTTGTTGATAAGAGTATCAATGGAATAAAGACAACAACAGCAATATTTTTTACCATTTGAAAATACATATTTAGATAATGTTATTGTTATTATTTGGTGATTGCAATTAATGGAATTGTGTGCATTGAAATCATATAGAGTTAAATGCGAAACAAAGTCGATCGTTTTACACCCTATGGTAATTATAAAATACAGTACAAATATAAAAGATGTTCCGGGAAAGTTATGGAACAAACTAGGGTATGGAAATATTTGCATGGACATAAAATCTATGTTATACTAAAAACAAACGCCAAGACTGTCTCTAAGCAGAATACTCTTGACACTTTTTGAAACCATTTAAAACAATTGATGAAGCCTTAGAATTTAGAAACAACACAAAACTTAAGGCTTAGTTTTTAAGATAATATAAATCTGCAAATTTTGCCTTCGTTTAATATTTTAATCTTGGCTATGGAAATATAACTTTATACGGGTTATGCAGTCATCAACTTGTAAAGGGGTTGTAAGTAAAACACATTCTTTTCCATACAATGTCCAATGGGTTTACATGTGATGGGTAGCATGTGATGGACGTACACCAGATGTATAAAAACAGTAAAACAATTGGGTTTGAATGGTTTTGAATGGCGTAAGTGTTTACCAATTCGTTGTCTTTATTCTAATTGGTCTAGAAAACTAAGTTTTACCCATTACAGGGTGAGATAAAAAAAACTCCAACAAAGTAAAAACCCCATAATTTTTATATTTTTTAAATTTCAATAAAATTTGAAATTGAAATTGAAAATTTTAGAATGAGATTAGATTTGTTCGAATTGATCATTTTTGGCACGAATTATTGCATTCAAACAGCCAATGAAACCGTCACATGCTGCCTGAATGTTGCTCTGCGGTATTTTGACCCATTCCCGGCGATGCGCTTGCTTGAGGTGATCGACACTTTGGTATTTTTAGTGCCAAACTTGCTTTTCAAAATACTCTAGAGACAATAGTCCAACGGATTGGTATCTGGAGATTTTGGTGGCCATTGTGCGCTGAAAATGAAGCGAGGAACCTCATTTTGTAATCATTCTTGGGTGGCGCTTGCTGAGTGCGATGGTGCGGAGTCCTGTTGGAATGTCCAAGGCCTGCGGCCAAAATGTTTGTGTGCCCAAGGCTTTTATACACCCTCAAGATTATTTTCGGGATAATATTCGGCATTTATTCTGATGCCATGGTCGATTAATTGCTTGAGTCCTGTTGGCCAACCGAAGGTGTGCATTTTCGGCTGACCTCTTTGGCAAGTAAACACGATCATTTAGTTTGTTTACAAACTGCTGTACAACGAATGTTTTCTCATCGGAGAACACCAAATTCGGCAGTTAACCACATGCGACTCTTTACCTCTTTTGAGTCTTTTTTATCCTGTTGCCGTGTAAGTTCTTGCACTTTTTGGAATTTCAATGGCTTTACCCCGAGATCATTTTTCAATATTTGCCGAATGGAATATTGCTATATATTCAGCTCACGAGCCATTTTTCGGCCACTGCGACGCGGGTTTCGAGTCGCTTCTTTACTTTTCGAACCATTTCTGCTGATGTTGCTGTTTTCTTTCGTCCATTTCTTTGACGTCTTATATCGTAACTAGTTAGGGCTTTTCATAAGGACACAGTTCGTATCTATCAGTTCCACTTGGCCAACGACTGTTACCTCAACCAATTCTCTAAAAAATGTCGGGCTATTAAAACAACACAATATAACGAACTTTGACCATTCATATGTATTTTCCTCCTCTTTGAAATACCAAAAAAAATCTTTATGTGCATTTCGTTTTTACAAATTCTGCTTTTTTGTTAACAGATCAAACAAACCAAAGAAGTTACATCCTATAAAAAGATGATATCTAAGTTTTATTTCCTTTACCCCACTTTCATAAAGTTAAAGAACTTTGTGTGAAAAACCAAATGAATTTCCACAAAATCGAAAAAGAAGTAGACAACCGCCACCGAGCAAAAGAATGAAGTAATGAAAGCTTTTAACATAATTAAAGTATAATGCACTTTCGAGCGCAATAAAAACTGCAGCCGCAACCAAAAGTACACTAACACACATTCGAAGAAACTCACACACACACACACACTCGCATTTACACGTGCCGCTCTTTCAAATAAAACAACCGAAATGAAATTAAGAAAACCAAAAGAAAAACTATGACCATTCTGACGGCAACGACATTAAGAAAGTCCTAACAAAGAGATTTTAGTGCGGACTGTGGAATATGAATGGGGATGTTGTCGGCGACAGCAAAGAAGAAAAAAAGTAAACGCTCATCCTTAATGGAAAAATATAGAATATAAAATGTTCTACACACGCACATTCTTCATATGCCCTGTGGGAATATGTGCAAGGAAATGGACATTATAAAGAAGAAAAAAACCACACAAGTTACTTGGGGAGATAACAAAAACAGGGGGAAAGCATTCATGATATACCGGCAAAAAGAACTATAACCGCTCTAACTGTTGGTTTTGGATGTCCAGTAAAACTTAATTTATGAGGAGAAGAAGTGTTTTTTAAATGCAGAATTGTGAAGGAAAATAAATATAACAAAAATAATAAAAAAGAAATATAATAATAGATATAATAATAAAAAAATAATAAATAATAATAATAAAATTAATAATAATAATACAAATAATAATAATAATAATAATAATAATAATAATAATAATAATATAATAATAATAATAATAATAATAATAATAATAATAATAATAATAATAATAATAATAATAATAATAATAATAATAATATAATAATAATAATAATAATAATAATAATAATATAATAATAATAATAATAATAATAATAATAATAATAATAATAATAATAATAATATAATAATAATAATAATAATAATAATAATAATAATAATAATAATAATAATAATAATAATAATAATAATAATAATAATAATAATAATAATAATAATAATAATAATAATAATAATAATAATAATAATAATAATAATAATAATAATAATAATAATAATAATAATAATAATAATAATAATAATAATAATCATAATAATGATAATAATAATGATAATAATGATAATATTAATAATAATACGGGGTGAGATAAAAAAAAAACAGAAACATCAGCAGAAATGGTTCGAAATTTAAAGAAGCGACTTGATCGAAACCCGCGTCGCAGTGGCCGAAAAATGGCTCGTGAGCTGAACATATCGCAATATTCCATTCGGAAATATTGAACTTACACCGCAACAGAAAGAAAATAGACTCAAAAGAGCTAAAGAGTTGCTTCGCTTGGCCGAAAGTGGTGAACTGCCGAATTTGGTTTTCGCCGATGAGAAAACATTCTTTGTCTAGCAGTTTGCAAAACAAACAAAATGCTCGTGTTTACTTGCCAAAGAGGTCAGCTGAAAATGTGCACCTTCGATTGGCCACCAGAACTCAAGCGCCGGCCATGGTGGTGGTGTGGGCCGCCATAACAGCCGATGGTCGCTCTCCGCTCGTATTAATCGACCGTGGTATCAGAATAAATGCCGAATATTATCTCGAAAATATTCTGGAGGGTGTATTAAAGCCTTGGGCACGCAAACATTTTGGCCGCAGACCTTGGTCATTCCAACAGGACTCAGCACCATCGCACTCAGCAAGCTCCACTCAATAGTGGTTACAAAATGAGTTTCCTTGCTTCATTTCCCGCGCACAATGGCCACCAAAATCTCCGGATACCAATCCGTTGGAATATTGTGTCTGGAGTATTTTGGAAAGCAAGGTCGGCACTAAAAGAAACCAAAGTGTCGATCACCTCAAGCAAGCGCTTCGCCTGGAATTGGCCAAAATACCGCAGAGCAACATTCGGGCAGCGCGTGACGGTTTCATTGGCCGTTTGAAGGCCATGATTCGTGCCAATTCGAACAAATCTAAACTTATTCTAAAATTTGATGCTATTTCCGACATTTTTGCTTTCATTCAATAAAATTAGAAAAAAGTAAAAAATATGGCGTTTGACTTTGTTTCAGTTTTTTATCTCACCCTGTATAAATCAGTTCTCCCATACGTTTATAAAGGAATCTAAATAGACTTTAATGTAAAAGTTTTTGTAGACTGTTCTGAAGGAGTTTTAATCAATTTTTTCATGAAGACCTTATAGACTTCGGTCGGGAGTTTCTTAGACTCCTGTAAAAATATTCTCTTATAGACTATACTATCCTTATGGTCAATAAATTCCTACAAAGGTACCTCAGGCTTTAAGGTCCAATTGTTTTTGATTTAATTATTAACTTTTCCTATGCCATAAACTTAGCGATTTCCATAAATCAAAATGTTTTTCATGATTTATGACCTTTTCGCTGGACAATTATCGAAATTATCACTAATTAGCCTATTTCGATTATTTTCACGCAAATCATTGGCAATCATTTGCTTTCTTTCTTTCATCATGAAATCATAAAATGTATTGCTTTAAAATTTTATGACCCTTCGCTGTAATCCTTTTTAATGGCAAAGAAATTACACCCCAAAAATTAGCAGCAATGGACCAATGAAAGAAATAAAATGGACTGCAACATTTCCATAAATTAGCTATGCGAAGGTGAAAACAATAAAAAGAATTAAACTCTTTCGAGTCATTTTTCCGAGCGCATGGTCCTCATTGCCCCCTCCCCTCCCACCATATTGATGAGGAACATAATGGACTGGAGGTATTAATTTTTTATAGCTAAACTTGGCTTTTTATTGTTGTTGTTGTTGAACTTTTGCCTGGCAATGTTGTTCAAGATTGTGCAAAAGTTTGGGCCTGTGTGCACGTGCTCTTAGTGAGTCGGTGTGTGTGTGTGTGTGTAAAACAGAATCCTACAGCCAATGTAGCATTGGAACATTTTAAATAAAAACAAAACAGAAAAAGAAAATTGCCCCATAACACCTTCGTCAAACAAGCAAGGGTAGGGATCGCATAAACGTCATCCACATCATCACCATCACCTTCGCCACCAATGTCATACCTGGCGGAAGGTGCCACACAAAAGAAGAACACACCATTTTAAGCCTTGTCCATTAAAA